AACAATCCTCCTCATATTCCCGTTTTACTGAGGAGTTCAGTGTAAGACCAATTTGCTTAAGGCACAGATCACTCATTCTTAATGAATGACCTACAAAAAACTCTGTCTCTGTTTCTACATCACTACAGTTAGCTACAACTGTAGATGCTGCACGCGCACACGCACACACACAGACACACACACACACGAGAGAGAGAGAGAGAGAGAGAGAGAGAGCTTTGTCCAAATAATGTGCAAAGCAATACAGAAGCCCAGTAGATGTGGGGGCTCTAGCAGCCCCTTCATCCTTTTATGAGTCACATAATGTTCTCAGAAAAGATTAAGATCCTACCAGAGCTTTTCTATTTTTCCACAATTGCTTTTCTGGGAGACAAAGGGAACTGACACCGTCATGCTAACCAAAAAGGATACCAACATAGCAATGTTCTTAGGTTTTTCTGAGCACTAATAGCCACTTGAAAGCATTTTGTCGGTATTTCGGTTCAAGGGCTGGACTAGGGCGGGCCCAGAAGAAACAGGAAGAAAAGGAGTGAACACACCAGATAAAAGACCTTTTCCAGGGAGCTGTGCTTGATGTCTGAGTCAAACTGAAATAATAATGATGATGATGCATTTATGGAGGACGTCACAAAATTGTTTCAAGCCACCTGTTTCCTTCTTAAAGTAGAACTTTTCTGTTGTGAGGCCACTACATTTCATTCATTCTAAGCTGGGTTCATGAGAAGCAAACACACCTACTTGTTAAAGCTGGTGCCTTATTCCAGCTTTACATCTTAGCATGTCAGTCACTTACGACCCATCTAGAGGTCCAAGTCCTCTGCTCTTGGGTCCGAATCTGGCCTCTGAGCTTTCCCAGATGATTATGCCCCCTTACTGATTTATTTATTTACAAGATTTTTTTAGCTGTGCCATTACCGATGGTCTCTGAGCAGCATACAACAATATTAAAATTTTAGAAAAACATTAAAACTATTAAAAATACACAATAATATAATAATACCCTATATTAAAACAGCCAATATATCATTAATAAATCCTGCCGCTAATATGGACAGCTAAAGGATAGTATTAAATTCAAATGCTGGCTAAAGGTCTTTGAAAGGTGTTAGGTTTCCTTTTCCCCCAGTCACAAACCAGAAAAACAACCCGTGAACTGGTAACCATGAACCACAAACCATCCTTTTTTCTGGTTCTTGCCGATCTCTATTCAGGAACATCTAAGTAGAGATACTGGGGATGTGGATTTCTCAACTTTTGCACCTGACACGCATATTTTCTTATTCATAACAGATACAGTGGTGCCTCGCTTTACGATTGCTCTGTTTAATGAAGAAACCGCATTGCGGTGAACTTTTTAAAGTTCATCGTAATGCGATTTACGCATTATGATGAACAGGTTAAAGTTTACGATGTTTCCTATGGGGGAATTTCACTTTGCGATGATCAGTTCCCTGCTCCAGGAACTGATTCTTCGCACAATGATTTTCGGACAGCTGATTGGCGGTTTCAAAATGGCCACTGGGTAAACAAAATGGCCCCCACTGTTTTCTGGGATGGATTCCTCGCTGCACAGCCCTATGGAGGATCTTCGCTAGACGGTGAGTTTCCAGCCCATTGGAACGCATTAAACGGGTTTTAATGCATTTCTATGGGCTTTTTAATTTTGCTTTACAATGTTTTCGTTCTACAGCGATTTCGCTGTAACGAATTAACGTCGTAATGCAGGCACCACTGTAAAGGATTCATAGGGAAGAAATGCCTTCCTATCAAATGAATTATGACCAATTCTCATGAAACATTGGATGAAACCCTGTTGCACAATTACACACACAGTGTGGCTTTTGCAAGTGAATAGCAGTAAGTTCAGAAATCTTTGCAAAACCCAAAATAAAAATAAAAAAAGATCGCCATTTTGGTTGTTGTGGTTTTTTTGGGCTCTTTGGCCGTGTTCTGAAGGTTGTTCTTCCTAACGTTTCACCAGTCTCTGTGGCCATCCTCTGAAAAACCCACAACAACCATTAGATCCCGGCCGTGAAAGCCTTCGCGAATAGATAGCCATTTTGCTTTTCCAGTGCAAGTTGATCAGATGCTTACAATTTGGTTCTGGTCTAGGCACTAATTGAATCAGATGAAGGTCCAGATCATCCTGGACCAAATCAGAATACATTCCAAAGCTGAGAGCTGGCCTTCAAATTGAATGTGTGTTGGGGTGGGGGTTTACATGCACAGTCCTACTGCAAAGCATTATTCACACTGTAGCATTGTCGATGATGTTTTAAGTGTGATTTACTAAACATGCCACTGTCCCATTCATTTCCTTCCTTAGAGTTTGGATGACACTTCTCTTACATACTGAAAACAAGGCATTCTTGGGCTATGCCATCTGATCTCCTTTCAGGCTTACATAATCAAGGATCATTCCAAACCCATGTAAAAGCAGCCAAACCCAGACCACTTCCTCAATCAAATGGGCCCCTTGCATAAGACTATGATGGGCTCGGCCGTCATGCACACGCTGCTCTTTTCCATCGTGCAACCATCTGGGCTTTGATTTGAACTGTATAATCATGGCCCACGTGCCATTTATAACTTAACCAGGATGTGGTGTTTCCTGTGATAGCTATTTTCTGGCTTGTTGCGCCAACCTGATGAGATGGTCACGGATTTGAAAATGGCCAAAGCTGTAGATGTTTACAAGATCTGCTGTGCCTCCCCCACCCAGGGCAATATGCTTCTGTCTTTGAAATGTTATGATTGGATTTGAGAATTCCCTTGCCAATGCTGTGTTCTGTACTGGAACTAAGGACAGTTACTTTCGGGGCCGACCGCTCCTGGTGGTCATGCCGGTTGGGATTTCTGGGAGTTGTAAAACAGAAAATTACCTTTTCTGATCCCTAGTAACCACAATAATTGAACAAAGATAGCTTGATGGGTCATGCTATTGTTGTTACAAGCCATTAACATGCCTCCAATCTATGGTGACCCTTATGAATGGGCAATCTCCAGAATATCTTGCTCTCAACAGCCTTGATCAAAACCTGCAAACTCAGGACTGTGGCTTCCTTTACGGACTCAATTCATCTCATGTTTGGTCTTCCTCTTCCCTTGCTGCCTTCTATTTTTCCCAGTACTATTGTCTTTTCCAGAGAATATTGTATAAGGCACATCGTCATCATTGTTATTCTC